TTCATCGACAAGAAGGCCATTGAGACCATATCAAGTGCTTTTCTAAAGTCTAGGTATACCACATCCACCTCTTCTCCCTTATCCACAAGACTTGCTATCAAAGAAAGCTATCAGATTGGTTTGACAGGAATGTATGTTTAAATGAAAGCCGTATTTCATACTCCCCATTTCAAATGCTTTATCTGTTTTCCCTTCTTTTCTGTATCTTTAAAAAAAGATTAATGATGTTCACCATGGTGATGAACAGGCTGATGTCTCTGGATGCCAAACATTGTTTAAAACTGTTTAATGCTAGACAGTCCTTGGATTGTGATAACAGTGCTGATTCCTTGGGCCAGTTTGTTCCATCTAATTCTGTATAACAGCATCCTTTGGATGCATCTACACTCCACCCTTAGCTCAAAATAAGCTACACAAACTGCATAGCTTATTTTGAGTTAATTTTGAAATAGCTTATTTGGCAATTTTGCGCTGTCTATACAGCACCAAATTTTGAAATAAACCACTATTCTGAAATGTCCCTTAATCCTTGTGGAACAAGGTTTACAGGGACATTGGAATAGCGAGCCAGTTATATTTGAAAATAACGGGCTTGTTTCAAAGACACGGAATAGCTATTTTGGGATACCAGAGGGTATGTCTACACTACCCTCCTATTTCGAAATAGGAGGGTAATGTAGGCATACCGCAATTGCAAGTGAAGCCCGGGATTTGAATTTCCCGGGCTTCATTTGCATAAGCGGGGCGCCGCCATTTTTAAATCCCTGCTGGTTCGAACCCCGTGCCGCGGGGCTACACGCAGCACAAACTAGGTAGTTCGAACTAGGCTTCCTAGTTCGAACTACCGTTACTCCTCGTGGAATGCTCCACAGGGTGTTCCACAGGGTGGTCCGCCTCGCCGACCCGGATGCCATCATCCAGGGGTTCGGCGCCTTCGGCTTCCCCAACTGCGGTGGGGCCATCGACGGGATGCACATTCCCATCTGTGCCCCGGAACACCAGGCCTCCCAGTACATCAACCACAAGGGGTATTTCTCCGTGCTCCTGCAGGCCGCGTGTGACCACCGGGGCCAGTTCACGGACATTAATGTGGGCTGGTCCGGCAAGGCACATGACGCACGGGTGTACTGGAACTTCTCTGTGTGCCAGAGGCTGCATGCCGGGACCTTCTTCCCCAACCGCCACATCAGTGTCAGGGACTTGGACATGCCCATGTGCCTGGTGGGGGATGCGGCCTACCCCCTACAGCCCTGGCTCATGAAGCCGTACACGGGGCACCTCAACCCCTCCTGCCAGGCCTTCAATGCCAGGCTCACTAGGGCCTGCATCATGGTGGAGGGGGCCTTTGGACGATTGAAAGCACGATTTAGGTGCCTCCTCACCCGCCTCGACCTCGCCAAGCACAATATCCCTCCCGTGGTGGCAGCATGTTGTGTGCTGCACAATTTGTG